TTACTACGCTACCTTCAGTTGTTATGAAAAAGCTGTATTAAAATCAATTTGACTTTGCATCATAGTTTACCTAAACGCTTTGAAATTGGCCTCTGTCTCTTTAAGAACCTCCTACCGTTTCCGACACTCCCACTTCAGCACACCTTCACAACAAAATGCTTCAGGGGAGGGGTGATCTGTGGGACTGAAGCTCGACTGCAGACTGAGCTCCAGGGAGGAGCTTTGTACAAACAGGCGGAGCTTAGTACCAGCAAGTGTTTAGGCAGCTCCAGACAGCTACCAGAGGAGATTCAAGGATTTCTCAAACATGCATGAATGAGGCAAACCAACATTCTGGGTATGTTTTTGATGAAGRAATGACATTAGAGCTCAACGTCAATTTYTTACATAATATCCYCCCTTTAACTTCAAGGTTTACTTACTTTCTGTCTTTGTACCATTGGATTGTGGGAAAAGGAGACCCCTCCACTTTGCAATCAAGCGTGACCCCTTGTTTGAGAATGGCTGAAACATCCTGAGGAAAGGCAGATCCTATAAACGTTGGAGGGACTGAGGCAAAAAAAAGGGTTATTAAAAAGGTTAACAGAAAATTTATGACAAATTAATAAAAATCTGTTGGTTAGTTCGGTTAATTTAGACTTAATTGCAGAGTTTTTTAATCCAACTACAAAACATCACCGTCTCTGCRTTGCTGTGCAGCTCTACTCACCGAGTACGTGTAAAACAAAGTTTTTCTCAGTGCTGCCTGCGATGTTGATGGCTTTACAGCTGTAGCTGCCTGCATCTGATCTTTCAGCCTTCAGTAATTTCAGGGTTTTTCCCAGATCCAGAATTTGGACGTTGTTACTGGAAACAACCTGTCAGTTAACACAAATACATTAAATCAAACGCAGCAACACAAATCAGAGTTCAAGAAATGCTTTCTGACAACTGCTGGAAAATTATTCACAAACGCAAGTAGATTTTAAAAATAATCATTTTAACCAATGAAAAAAAATATTCCAATGTTGACAAAAATGTGCAAAACAGGACAATAGTTTTTCTAAGCCAAAAACTTTCCGACAGATTTTTTGTTATTTAGATTAGTCATAATTAGCAGATTTATGTATGAGCACTGATCTGTGTTTGGCAAGGAGAATGATGACAGCAGCCAAGGCAGTAAAAAACAGCCTGCTAACTGGGAYGTTACAGCAAAGTGTGCACTAAATTTCCACTCTTACATCACAATCAGGCACAATATTAGTAGACAAAGCATGCGGTTTTATTACAAACATGTATTCCGACATGTATTCCAAACAYGACTTTATTACAAACATGTATGTTGGATATAAAATGTGTTGTCTTGAATGATCAGAGCTGCTTTTGTTTTTATGAGGGCTTTCATCAAAGAATGAAAAGAGAGCCCATCAAACTTCCTCGTTTACTTTATACAAGTGCAAACGAAATGATCCAATCTTTTCACAGGTTCCACTAAAGGTTAATTATGTTATACAAACATCAGGGCTGTGTGTTACTTAATGATTGTGGAATATTTGGTCCGTGTTTTGTACCGATTTTTTTTTCTAGAAAGTGGGATTACACTTACAGTACTCCCATCTTTATACCAGGTGATGACAGGGGTTGGACTTCCTGTGACGTCACACAGCAAGCTGATAGGCTGACTCAGGACCACTGACAGGTTACCAAGTGTGTCGCTGTCATGAAAATCTGGGGGTACTGTAGAGGTGATCATTAATACACATTAGATTTGAGCCGGGTTAGATTTGAGCCGGGAGGCACGAGTGCACCAATGTCTCAACAAATGACGTCAATCACCGTTGACTTTGAGCTGGTACTTCCTCTCAGTGGATCCAGCATCGTTCGCAGCCATACAGACGTACTCGCCATCATCCAGAGGTGAGACTGAGGCAAGGATCAGCAGCGTACCATCCTCCAGGATGGACACACCGGGCTCGTTACCTGTCAGCTCTTCACCATTTCGCAACCAACGAATCACTGGCTTAGGTAGACCTGAAARAGAGATGAACTCATTTAGAAAAATCAAAGATTTATACATTTTTCTGACAGTGAATAAAATATATCAAAGGAAATGACAGGAAAGCGAGTGTCAGATGATCAGAGATCAAAGCTTTGTAATTGTATTAATTTATATTAATGTATTTGTATTAATTTATACTTCATTAGAAAAAGCTGTACTTTTTCTAATTTATTGTACTATTGTTTACTGATGAGTTATTTTCTAGCAAAGCTGRATAGGACAGTAAAGCACCTTTAGCCGGGCAGGGGAAGGCAATWCGCTGGTTTGCAACTCTTTCCTGCAGGGGGCTGTTGAAGGGGGGCTCCAGGACTTCAACAACAGGAGGTACTGAAAACACATATCAGTGCTAACAGATTGTCTTCAAACTTGATTTCTTTCATAAGTAAAACAGACACATAATCTGTCACCAACATAGTGAACACCCGTAAAGCCAACCTTGCACCAGGACCCTAACTCGGGCCTCGTCTCTGCCTGCAGCGTTGRTGGCTGTGCAGGTGAAGGTTCCTTCATCGTCCAGTCCAACGTTCCTCAGGTTCAGGCTGCCTCCAGGTGATGCAGGGTACCTTGTACCATCTTTAGTCCACGTCAGAGTCGGTTCTGGAGATCCTGTCACCACACAGGCTAGTTCCGCCTGGTGACCCACCTGTACCTTCATCACTCTGGGGCCGGGGAGGATTCTTGGGGGCACTGCAGAAAAGATGACAGAACAGAGTAATTTCTAGATCTTTCTGTGCCTCCTTCGGATCTACGTGAACCGTCACATTGAACCAAGGATTGAGTCGCAAAGTAGTATGTGGAGAAATACGCAGCTATAGTGCACTGATTAAAACATTTGCAGTAAGTGTATTTAGTCAAAATATAACCTTACCAATGGATCATTTGAATGAACTCAGAAATATAATCTTAATGTCATGTTCTGTGTGCTTTGGGTTAACTATTTCTATGGTCCTTTGTGTTRGTTGTTTATCTTTGTGTATATATTAGCTCAGCACTCTCACCTGTTAGTGATTGCAATCAGCCTCACTTGCAGGTGTTGCCTGTCTTCTCTCTCATTCTGTTTGTATTCACTCGGTCTCTTGCCATAATTTTCTCTCTGGTTTGTTGAATGATTTTGCCTTCAGTCTTGGTCGTCACCTACTCCCTGTTTATGTAGGTTTGTTGCCACCATGATGGCTCTTTGTTTATTTAATAAATTACTTCTATTTTGAGCTACTASTGTCCGCCTACATCTTGGGTTCAAAATCCTCCACTGACTATGATACTTAAATGTTTGAAGTCTTTTGAGTAGTAACAAAAAAAATTGGGATATTTTAGAAATTTTCTTTTCTTTCCAGCTGGGAAATCTCAATTTCCAAATGCTTTTTGAGATTTCTCGTTATACTGATGTCAAAAAGTCCTCAGAATAACTTAAAAATAGGATTTAAATCAAATATGAATGTGTTCTCCTGATTAGGAAGGCAAATCAAGCCACATCAGCTCATGATATCAGGATAATAATGGTATCAAAATGTAACTTAATAAGCCAGAAATCTGAAAATGTGCCCAGGTCAGTTTGACCAAATTTAACTTAATCCTCAGTTTGAAGGGATGGGTCACATTTAGGCTATTTTGGACTTACCTAAAACAACCAGCTCAATGGATTGTGTCAGGTTTCCAGCAATATTGGAGGCAACACAAACATAAAGTCCACTGTCAGAGACTCTGGTTGCCATGATCTTCATGGATCCGGAGGGAAGCTGAACATGCCTGGGAGGAAGAAGAACACGTCTCACTTTACACGCACAAAAACAGCAATAAATCAAATGTTAAAATAAAGCCTGCCTTATATTTCTCTTCTCTTTGTGCCACAAAGAGAAAAGTGAACTCACTCAAACACTCACTCACTCACTTATTTCTTTGGTTATTGCTGTGAACAAATATGCCTGCAATTCTTACTAATCTGCCATCAACCATAATTACAGCTAGTTTGGCAGGCGTGCTGCAAATACAAGAGATCACAGAGAAAACTAAGGATTACTTTGTCATCTCAGAAAACCACAGACTGTACCCTGAGGTCATGTGAGAATGACAGACAGAGTACTGTAATGTAGACAGCATGGAGTTCATTTAAGACCTTTGAAAAAAAGATTAAAGCTGTTGAAACTCATTTTTTATTGTCTTTCAAAGAAATGTGGGTTAATTTAGCATCTGGTGCCAGAAACACATTTCAGCAAGGCGACAYGGAGGAATGTTTGTTTCTCTTACTTTTTAATTTTTTTCAAAACCACTTCTTACAGTTAACCCAGAAAAACACAAGTTACAGACATTTTCCCCTTTTATGTCAGATGAAGAATTTTAGCTTGTCTATTTCTTAATTTAAAAAGTTAATCTTTCACGGTCACACGTCTGAACTGCAGACAGACTCATTCAGCACTTGGGCTCTTTAACTAAGCAGACATGCTGCTRTAATGTATGACAAGTCTGGTTTGGCACTGCCTTTGTGAAAGAAAAACAAGACCTCTTGGTTGTGTTTGGTTTGAGGGTTTTTCCYTGGAAGAGCTTCAGAGTTGATTTTTGGATCAGTTAACTGGGATCCTGAACCAACAGTAGTGATTCCACCACAGGAGTAGTTGTACTATTCAAATAAAGAAGCAAAACTAAAACTAAACTAAAATTCTTTCTATTCGTGCTGAATAAAAAAAATAAATAAAAGAAAAATGTTTCACCTGGGAGAAAATGGAGAGATAAGCTGCTTCTCTTTTGACCAGCTGATGGTGGGAGGTGGGACACTTTGGACCTCACATGGTAAAATGATGTCCCTCTTCTCTATCACTGACATCCTTACAGGCTCTGATGAGCCTCCAGAACCACCAACACTGGATCTGGGTCGAACTGAAAAGGCAAACAACCAAAAAACTCATCATGTTTGGCAAAAACTAATCTTATAGACTTGATCTTTGAGACTTTTAAAGAAGAAAATGGAACTGAAGCTGGAGATTTAAAGCAAAAATTAGTGAATACTGATAAATGATGTCTTCATTCTTGAAAGAAAAAGAACTCAACTGTACAATATGTTGTACGGCCAATAAGATCAAGTATTATTTTGAGGATTGCAGTATTCAGTGGTGGGCACAGTTATGCTAATAGTGGATCTAGATTCTTATTTAGCAAAATAGCATTTTTTTCCTAACTTTGGAAATCGTTAGCAGGCAAATTAGCTTCCGCTAAATTATGTTCTGCTAATTTTAAATCTGCTAAAAATTTCACAAGCATTAAACTTTTATTTTTATGCCGTTTATTTCAAATTAAATACTATCCGATCATACAAGCAGTGCTGGATGTGTCACAATGTGTGTAGTGTGTAGCATCTTTAGCAGCTAAACTCCAAACTAAGAGAGTCAAATAAATAAAATATTTTAATACAGAATACCAAAAATGACTATGTACTGTATTAAATATGGTAGAGAGAGTATTTGCTATTTGTTGTTGACTAACTTCAAATGGTATGTATAAAAATATTAACTTGATCAAATGTCTTTTTTCTGAAAGGGGTATATTGGAAGTATTTGAATTGGCCGATATATCACAAATGATCCCACCCACTTTCAAATTAAACCAATAGAAAACTAACAATAGGTTTATGTCAGTCTCACCAGTCTTCATCAACGAGAAGATGAAGATGGGTAACAGTAGTTTTAGCGGTAGCGGTTAGCTTCTCTTATTTTTAATCTGTTTAGCATTAGTGGAACTAAGATTCAGAGGTTAGTGAAGCTAATGTTTTGGTTAGTTGTGCCCACCACAGACAGTATTTAAATATTATGCTGTATTTATACTATAAATGTCATGGTGCTTACAAAGGTTTCATACCTTTTTTAGCATTACATTGGTAATGTTAACTTAAACATCAGTTGTCTTTTTRTACAGCCTTCAGATGCTAAGTTTACCATAGACTGTGAGCTGAACCTTCCTAACTGCRTAGCCAGCTGCATTGGTCGCTATGCAGACAAACTCGCCGGTCTCATTTCCAGAGGGAGACGCGATGACAAGACTGCCGTCAGAATCCAAGGAGAAAGCTGGACCACCCAGGTTCAGGAGTTCCCCACCCTAAAATGTAAGTTACAGTGGGAAATAAGAGCAGGATCTAAAGTTTATTTCTTTCTCCTAACTTCAATAACACATCAGATTCTTTCTAAGTGTTTAAATGTATGATTAGGCCATGAATATGTAACCAATGAACCAAAACATAAAATCAAAAGTCATGTTAGTGCATCAGGCTTAATTCATATCTGCATGGTCTTTTTTGACGGATGCAAACAAACTGATGTTAAAATGTGCAGYAGAAAAGCCAGAGAGAGGTACATCTGCACAGCTGGAGCTGAGTTTATCTGGGTCACGTTTCATGAGGCTCTGTTGCCTTGTTCACCTTGACAGGAAGACTTATACAACTCCAAAAAATGTAGAAAACAAAAAAGACAAAGTAAGTAAAAACTAAGGCTTCTAGCTTAATTTGATGCACAGAAATGCAGATTTAAATGGGAAACACACTGTATTTGATTGACAATCAAAGCTAAAGCTGACAATGGTTCAGTGCATCAGAGACACTTAATTACCTTGTGATGGAATACTTATATAATGTGATTATACAGTATACCTATGCCTGTAAAAGTTCATACTGTCTTGACATTTTATTGTATCTCTTATTTGATAACTACTACCTTTGTTTAATCTGTTTCTCAAGATTTCAAGACATCTATAATGTCTGTAACCTTGTCTTATTTTGTTAATCTCTTTCCGAGCTGGTGCTCTGTCATTGGACCAGGTTTGACAGTTGTCGATCTGTGATTGGATACTCATGAATTGTCACCGGATGTTAAAACTATACCTCTGTTCGTTGTTCCTGTAGTAGCAGCTTGACAGATTTCTTGATCGGGTCTGAGAAGTTGTTGCTCCGCCATTTCTTTATTAAATCGTCTCTGATGGCCATCCACGCAGACACTTTGTTTCATTTCACGTGTTTCTGCCTTTTTAATAAATATTTCTATCACAATTGGCGTCACGAACAGGATTCGAACCTCTGCGGAGAAACCCCATTGGATTTCTAGAACTGCGTCTTGTCAATACAGCACCTAGTTTTTGTCTTTGTAGAGCTGTCTTTGTTAAATAAATATTTCTATAACATACCTCTACAAAGACAAAAACTAGGTGCTGTATCGACAAGACATAGTCCTAAACTTGGATAATGCTGTAGATGAAGAAATAAAGACAGAGCTGGACGTTTACAAGCAGACGATTGCTCATAAATGCACAGTTATACCACATAAATCAATCTTTTTAATGTGTCAGCCACATAAAATATTGTGGCTACAATTTGTCTGAGGCATGCTGAGTGAATCGCACCTGCTGTTTATACAGACCTTAGTCCAAGTAATGTCTGGGCCCGGTATTCCTCTGGCACGGCAAGGCAGACTTATCGCTGTTCCTTCGGTCGTGCTAAATACCTGTGGGCCATGTTGAATTGTTGGAAGAACTGCGGATACAAAGGTAAAAAAAAATAAGTAGTACGTTTAGTAGTAATTATAGCTAAAACTGACATTAGCATGTTTTGCTTTAATGCCCACCCCCACCCAAACAGCAAAAACAAAATAAATTATTCAAATTTATATCTTTTAAACATCAAACGTAAAAGCAAAAAATGAGTTCAAGCGATGTTCAAAAACTCTAGCATGTGCCTTAAAGACTAAACTTATTCACGTTTTGAATATATGAATATCAGTGATGCTACCATAAACGTTGATGGTGGTTGTATGGTTTGTGGCCCCAATAACATTCTCAGCCAAGCAGGTGTAATCGCCCTCATTATCCAGCCGAACTCTCTCGATATGCAGACTGCCGTCCCTCCTCACTGTTACATACTGATCTGGAGTCACCTGAAAGATGTTGAAAGTGGGATTTTTTTAAATCAATTCTGAGTTATCTGGATGTAAGACATTAAATAGAAGCCATCCTCTTGTGTTCTCACCAAGCCGTAGTTGTGCAGCCACTGTCTCTCGGGAAGAGGGTTCCCAGCCAGCAGCACACAGGGAAGAGTGAGCTGCTGATCCTCAACGACACTGAGCACAGCTGGACTCATCGCAATCAGGGGTTTAACTGCAGATTACACAAAAATGGTGCAAATAATAGTTCAACAGAGACAAAATTATCTGTTGATAATTGTTACACAAAATATCTGGTCTAGCTCATGCAAAAACAAAAAAGATCATCATTCTTGCTTTGAAAACCATATCCTATATGCAGATTTAAACAGTTTATATCATAAAAGATGAGCTGTAACATACTTGTCACCTCATCTTTATGCAGAAAATGATGTCAGATTTGGCAGAGATGGTGACAGTGGTGTTGAGATAAACATTACTATTCCTTTAAATTGCCTTGGAACACAACTTTTGACACTCATGTAACCCATCGTCCAAATAAAACAACAGCACATGTGCTTCTGCACTGCATGTGTTAATCCTCTGAGGGAATGTTGCCAGCATGAAGTGGGGTGGGGGTGGGGGGGGGGACTAATTTATGTCATCTGGGCGTGTTTGTTCTTTCTAACCTTTGGCCCACATTTAAGAACGCAGGGTGGTTTTCAGTGGTGGGCCGTCAGGACCAGCAAAGCCTTCTCTGCTGGCCTAAACACAACCAGAATCACTAGCTTACATTTTAGTATGTATTAATAATATAATTTATATTATTATGAAATATCTGTTCTCTTCATTTCACAGCTTTTCTCCTGGTTGCGTAGGTTCCAGCAGCTATTTGTTTTAGTTCTTTTATCCAATCATATTTCGAGCATCATCTGTTGCTAGGGTCAAAGAAATCTGCCTGAAGGCCTTCAGAAGGAACAGTGAAGGCACCTGGAGGGTGAAACAAACGGCTGTGATACTGTTGCTTTGACCAATCAGATGTTGAGTTGGCGACTCCAGAGCCTTCTGAGACAAGGTCTGTGTTTTCACGTTGTTTGATTAGCTGATCAAAGAGTAGTCAGAACCAGGAATTTTTACTTCTGTAGCACCTTACAAGCTAAATGCGGACTGGACATTCTCAACGCAACAGAAAATAAAAACTTATGACAAAAATACAACAGAACGGACTTGACTTTCAGCGTTAGCTTCCACGGTGATGGTAGAACAGGGCTTTTTTGTTGAAACGGAAACATCCCTAGGACCTGTATAACAGATGAACCAAATTGTTTTTGAGAGGAAAAAAAGGATATGAAGTTTGTGAAAAAACGTAAATACATGTCCCAAGGCATTTTCAGTCTGATATAAAACCAATCACTATGGTAAAGGGGGTAGTGCGTGGTCACGCAAACTTAGGTCAAGCGAAGGCTAGACCGTCTCATTTCACTGCCGTTTTAAGCAGCCTACCCAGAACTGAGACACAGCCTTACAGACCCAGTTATCTCCAGTGGTTTATAGTAACTAAGTAAATTTACTTTGTTACAGTACTTAAGTAATTTTATGAGGATTTGTAATTTTACCAAGTATTTTTTTAAATCATGACTTTTACTTTTATTGTTACTTTTAAAACCTAAAAATGATACTTTTACTTCTTTACTTTAAAGTTTAACACTTAGTTACTTGTTATAAGTTAAATCTGTCCGAACTCATCATGAAAGGAGTTGTTTATGCGATCTAAAAAAATTAATTGTTGAATTTACTCAACCAAATCATGTCAACTGTTTCGACTAAACCTAGTAGAGTCAATTTGAGGTGATATACAAATCTTATTTTAAATAAATTTACCAATTTAATCAACTTGGTTTTGTGGAGCCAGTTTGGTTCAGTAAATTTATCACTTTATTTGTTAGAGTGCGTGGAAAAGTACTTTTACTTTTACTTCTACTTTCCCAATTTTTGTGAACAGTTTTATGACTTTTACTTAAGTAATTTTCTCATCGGTGACATTTATTTTTACCAAAGTCATTTTCTGTTAAGGTAATCTTACTTTTATTTAGTTATTTTTTTCAAGTACTTTATAGACCTCTGGTTATCTCTGCATCTTCTTGGCTGGCAGGTCTGCTCCAAACCCTCCTATTGAAGGCCTAGGTGTAAAATGCATGGTCCACTGGCGGTTTCACAGCAGAGGAACAGTGACAGAAAATGGGGTTTAGCAAAGCACGTGTGCTCCCCACACTGAGCATTACTATTGAAATAGAAGTGACCATAACAGCTACCAGTCACTTTTTCCATTCAAAACTTTGATTTWGTTTTACACCTATCAAGATTTTGCACCCAAACGGGACAGAAAAATTGTGTCAGGTTGACAAATCCTGGAATATTTTTAAATAACAAACAACTACAATGTAATATTTTGGACATTTCACATGCTGGTCTTACCAAGTCCAGTTACAGTGATGCTGGCCTGTGTTTGGATCCTACCAAAAGGGTTTTGTGCCTCACAGACATACACTGCCTCATCCTCTACCCAAACGTCTGACGAAAACAAGAAACAGCAATGTGAGCAGCGTGTCTATTCAAAGTTATATGTGCACAGCTGATTAATAACTTACTAATAAAATGTAGATCTCCCTTCCTCTGTGATATGCTGCCATGTAARCGTGGCCTGTTGAGAAGAGTTGAACCGTCCTCTCGCCTCCAGGTGACCYGAGGTTCAGGGTATCCGCTAGCGTGACACGGCAGGGTCATGTCGGAGCCGATTTCCACCGCCACGTCCGATGGCTCTTGGGTGAACTTGGGCGCAGCTAGAGGGGTCGAAGGTGAACAATGAGAATTGATAGTTATAAAAGCATGCAGATATTTATTGTGTCAACCAAATTTGAAGTGGAGCTCACCTCCAACATCAAGGGAGATCTTCCCTGATGAGGTGCCGGCGGCATTAACAGCCACACAGGTGTAATCCCCTGCGTCGCCAAGCTGGGTCTGCTTTATGGTAAGAGATCCTTCCAACGTGTCCACCTCCAGGAGGGACGAGGAATGGAGCTGTGTGTTRCCTTACAATTAAAGACATATGGACAGTTTGGATCTGAAAACAAACTTTAAAGGTTATGGTTTATGTTTGACCAAAAAAWTTTTCTCTTGAGATTATTTGCGGGCATCCTTCATCTTGTAAAGTGTTACCTTTGTACCACCTGATTTCAGGCTGAGGGATCCCAGATGCTGAGCAGGACATCACAGTGGACTCTCCGATGTTTGTGAGAATCTCACYTGATGCTACTTTCACCACAGGGGATTCTAGGAGACAACAAATGATAAAAGACTGTCAGAGGATCAACACAAAAAAGAGGGAATAAAACATAACACTAATGAATTTGGTGGAAATGTTGATAGTTCTTACCGAGAAAGGTTAGGATGGAGCTCATTGAGTCGGTACCGGCCTGGTTGCTGGCCAGGCAGCCGTACACTCCTTTATCTTTCTTCTTTGTGTTTCTTATTAACAGGGTGCCATCAGGAGCCATTCTGTGTCTAAACATTACAAATAATATCCCAAATTCAGCTTTTTTTTCTTTAATGGCCCCACCCCTTCACAATTTTGTCTCAAAACTATTAAAATTATCACAAAATCTACATTTCAATCATTATGCTTTAAAGAACCTGTTGGAGGCTGTGATGAACATGTCATTGTGGGTCCAAACCAGAAGAGGTGGAGGATAGCCTGCAGCTGAACACTTGATCCTCACGTCATCTCCTGTCATGAAGCTCTGATTCTGCGGCTCCACTGACACCCTGGGAGCCTCTGAAGGACAAGAGGAATCACAAAAAAAACCATAAAATCTTCAACTTATTCATCAAATTAACCCGTTACCATCTAATTAGGCTGAAAAAAGTTTAGTTGTCACACTTCACTAAAAGACCATTTGTGTTGTGAAATTAAAGTATAAAACTTTCGTACCGAAACTTTAAAGTTGATCAGAGCTTAGAGAAAAATTAGGAAAACAGGAACATGAAGTATTGTTTTTCCTCTGAAAACATYCAGACAAACTTTTTCACCAGGAATCATGATGGCTGCAACAACTAACATTGTTTCACAACATGTATTTCCCTCTGATTTCCTCTTTACTACTAAAACAGAAAAGACTGGAATCCAGAGAATCTTTAAACTGATTCATGATGGGTAATTTGTCTCTTTAAGAGTGTGTTTTCTGCATTATGTTTTCACTGTCAGAATTATCCTCAGTGTTTCTGTTCTGTCTAGGATGTAAAAAGTACAATGCAAAATCACACTTATAGTCCCTGTCCATCAAAATGCTTTTCTATTGGCCCTTTGTATTTATGCAGGTAATATCATTAAAAGATAGGRTCATTTTAAAATATGGGAGAGACATTTTTTTCGGGTAACATACTGACATTTTAGGAATACACAAATCCAACATGGGTGCCTTGGGTTTATGTAATGTGTATTGTGAAGAGGGTAGGTCCTGACAGAGCCTTGCGGCACACTTTTTGTGATGATTGCTCGAAAAGAGCCCATGTAAGTTTCTTTTTGCAACCAGGAAATCTAATTAGAATACCAGTTACCTGCTGGCACCTTTTCCTTATCAGAAGGTTATCCTGGCCTCAGATGAGGGGAACACCTCCAAGATTAGAGACAAAGAGTTTTTGAGAGATACATTCTTCTAGCCTGACTCAGCAAGCTAAGAGCTTGTATTAAAACCCCACTCAGTACCTACTGCATTTTTTCTCCTATCTTCTATCTTCATTCTATCTCAAGCATCATCTTTTTTCATTGATTTCCCTCCCTTACCCTTTTCCTTGTCATCYTGTTTCTCTTATTTCTATCCATTCACTAATACTGTTTACATTTCAAAACTATTTGCATTTGTCAAGAAAACACTTCTTTTTTTGACCACCACTCAGGAAGATCATACATCACCATACATCAAAACAAGGAAGCGTGAATCTATTACCTCCTGTGCACCCTTCACTGGTATGGTGTTAACATTGTGCCACCAGCTTGAGAGCACAGTAACACTGATTTGAGAGTAGATATTGGGTATTTTAGGCAATATCATGATGCATCTCAGTAATCCAGGTAGAAAAAAATGTTAAGTTCAACTTAACTTTTTTAATTATTCTTACCGTAGGCAATATGTATTAATTACAGTAAGATATATTACTGTTGGTTTTGATATTATTTGTAGATATTCAAATTCATTTATTAGTTCCTCTTCTTTGTTGATATTGTTACATCAGAAGAGTGCTTAGTAGAATTTGAATATCTACAAATAATGTCAAAACCCACAATAAAGCATCTTAATGTATTTTAGAAATATTGCCTAAAATACACAATGACACTAACACTAGTTAAAATTTAAAAAATTTAATTAAATAAAATAAAAAAACATAAAAAAGGGAAAATGTGTACTTAATTCAATTTGAGTTTTTGGGAAATTGCTCCAACTGCAATTCAGTACACTTTGGTTTTTATTTGTATCATTATTATTATTATTATTTTTTTGTATTTCACTGCCAATTTTATTATTGTTTCTCTCATTTTCACGTTTGTTTGTTTGTTTGTTTTATTCTTAGCTGCATGTGATGCATTGGTTGTGAAGCACTTTGGTCAACAGAGGTTGTAACTGTGCTTGCCTTGACATCTACCAGTATTAAAATGGCAGCTGTGTCAAAGCTGATGAAAGTTTCTGAACCATTCCTCTCRTAAACAAACTCTACAGTTGGTTGTTTTACTCTGAATTTCTCTTCTTAAACAACTAAAACATAGCTAGCGTTACTGTATAAGAGGTAATAACACCAAATTAAAAACAAACAAAAATGACTTTTGGCAATTACACTACAAAATTCCCTATGTCCAAGTTAAGATGCCAGCTGAGCTGAATAACTACAAAAAGAGGATAATCACTTGGTACTGACCAGTGAGGTAATTAGAAAATGCCTGGAGCCTAGAAACCATGAAATAAATACAAGATGTTCATTTTAAAAGGCTGGATCAAGTAAAACAAAGTTATTCACTTCTTCAAACTCATTAACCCCTCTGWTAAAGTGCATTTTTTTCTATTTCTGACTAAGATCATCTAACAGTAAAGCTGAGCAGTCCAACATGTCCAACAGGTGATCTTTAATAATTTACAAAAAATAAATAAATAAATAAAATCCTGATTTAGTGTCAGGACAGGAWGTGTGCTCCAGAGATGAAGAGCTCTGCTTAAGTGCTGCCTGAGAGTCGAGCATAAATATTTTTCACACATTTCATAAACCATTAGTGTGAGTAATGGGGAGTAAGGGAGGGGAAATGGAAAAGGGCACCTGGGGCAGAGCCATATATCTAACAAGGCAGTAGTGTTAGCTAAGAACAATGCTCCTCCCTCGGTGCAAATCACAGAAAAGAAACAAAGTCATGCACACACACATRCAGCATACATAAATAAAAGACCTAAGAAAACTCAGTAGTTTCAGTCGTCCTGCTTTTTTTGAGCTAAACAGAATCAGGCTCATTTTTAACATTTTAAATATCACCACCTTGCACTGTGAGATAGAGACGCTCTGGAATCACGCCTCCTTCGTTTGCAGCAACGCACTCGTACCAGCCGGCATGATCCGGGGTTGCACCCGACACCTGCAGGGAAAGGTTGGCCAGGACGTGCACYCGGGGGTCCAGGCGGGCATCGAGGCCCCCTCTCAGCCAGGTGAGGTTGAAGGTGACGGTGCTGACGACGTGGCAGGTGAGGACAGCRTGGGAGCCAGGGGAGACGGTGACGTTCCCTGCAGGTGTGATCGCTGGAGGAGGCTCTGCAGACACACAGGGAATGTTAGGGTTATTTCTTTAAAACTATTTTTTTCCTGCATGTGAAGCGGGGGTCTTATTGTTTCCGTACAGTTTACTTATTTWATTTTTTAATTTAATTTGTTTTTTTCAGTGATTTTGGTCAAYCGTAGCACAAAAACGGCTACACCGATCAACATGGAATTTGGCAGGAATGTAGACATGTCTGGTCTACACTGGGCAGCCAACAGTTTTACAATAGACCCCATATTTGAGGAGGGGGCTCCACCTAAAGAGAGGGAGTCTGGATATACAAACATGCTTATAACTCAAAAACTATTCAATAYAGCAGCTTCAGATTTATTTTTGTTAGCTCTGGTGAGCTCTGAGTTCTGGTGCATTGGTACTTTGCATATGTGTGGGGGTAATCTATGCTACCGCTATGCAATGTCTTGTTTGTATAGTGACAAGTGTCTAGTCTGAACAATACCATACACTAAAACATTTATAGCCTATGCTAATTTGCAAAGCTAGTCCCTAAATGGGTTTTTATCAACATGGAAATAAAAGTTTAAAATACAGTTTTTGAAAAATAAAATATTACAATATTAAGACAATTAATTAAACAAACTTAAAAACTGATAACAAT